GACGACCGCCCCTATTTCTCCAGGCTACGATCAACAGTCTCTCCTCGCAGCCCCATCACTACTCTCGCACTACCTCTCCGATGCTCGACGTAGATCTGTAGTCCTGCCGTCCAGACAGTCGTCGTACCCAGACCAACACAGCGATTCACAGGGCCCCAGCGACTGCCGCCGTAGAAGATGCAGCCACCAGCAGCTGGTCCTAGTCTGTGTATAGTCAAAGCGACAGCTGCTTCCCGTCGGCCCGTTAGCATCCAGCAGAAGCCGCAGTGGTATGTAGCTGTAGTCCGTACTGCCCACCAGCGCTGTAGTGGCATGCAGCGATCAATAGTGCCCTGCCTGTAGCACCGGATCGTGCACAACACACCGCAGCAGATCCTTAACAGCCCTTGAAGTCACAGCAGCAGCCTTTCTCATCCATACACAGTCCACCAGCGCCGTGGCAGCCTACAGCGGTTCGCAACACGCGACACTTAGCAGCGGATCACGTACACCACACGGCAGCAGGCCCTCCCCAGCAACAGCAGCCGCCAGTCGCAGCAGCACACGACGCGCACCACAGCGGCTTACAGTGGGGAACAACGTCTCGCTTCAGCAGTCGTGCCTAAATCTCTGCCTAGTACAGCAGTGACCCCGACGTAAGAAGGAACAGGACTGGCGTGCAGCAAAAGCGCCCAGCAATGAGCAGTGCTCGGCTCCACAGCAGCGCCGAACAGTGCCCCGCACTGCCGCAGCGCTCTGGATATTGCCGAGCACAGCACTGACCTGCAACAGCGTAGGTAGCTAATCCACTATAGCAATTTAGAACGATGCTGCAGTCCTTCGCATCTGAGCGCCACCGTCCCTTATAGCAACAGCCTGTTACTGCTGCACCCAACCAGCCGCACACTTGTGTAAATCTGGCAAGACGGTAGTACAGTCCGACCTAGCAGCTCCAGACAGCAGTAGTCCGTAGTTACTTGGGCCGTAGCACCAAGCCACAGCAGTAATAGCCTCCCGCACTAGCCCCGGCCTCCACTATTTACGCCACACTTCTGCTCCCTGTAATGAAACGCGCAGCAGTCTGCAGTAGGCCCTACCACTGCTGCCGCGAAAAAACGTAGTTTAGAAAGGACAACAAGATGTACGGCTGTGGCGCAGCAGAGCTGAGCACATGGAAAACCGGCGGAAGTGGTGAGCTACCCGTACACGCTCGGCTGCCGAGGCGCACTGTAACTCCCTGCGACTCACCAGTCTGCATAGCCAACTCTCACGATCGTGCCTGCAGCCAGCTTCTCCAGGATAGAACCTGCCAACCAGTGGGCCTTCGTCGGATAACCTCAGCTCTCCGAGTGCCCGTACCCGGATGCAAGCAGCCACAGCGGCCCCTAGCAAGCAGTAATGTCATCGTCTGTATGCAGACGTAGGTTGTGCAGACCGCCCTTGCGGCCAGGTACACGCCTTGTCACTCCATAGGGGGCCAACAGCGTGGCCCGACTAGCCATGCGGAGCACAGTCTGCCTGCAGCTGGTTATGCAACTCTCCCTGGCCTCAGCAAGTATCGAACGTACAACTGGTCTTACTTTACCTCAACCCCGGGGGTGAGCCGCACTCCAGCTAACAGTTAAGTTTCCATCTTGTGGCCGGCCTCCTTGCTGCTCATCCCCGAGCACTCCGCGGGGTAGGCTGGTCCACATACCAGCAAGCGAGCCCCCTTCTCCCTTAATCACGCCCCTCAGCGAAGGGACAGCAGCCCCGGTGGCAACACAGCAACCCTCCGCAGACAAGGTGGCACGGAGCACAGCAATAAACCCGGTCCTGATTACATGACACCGGAGTTAATAGTCCAGACTTCCAACTCAACCACCCCACCCAAGCCGTGCTTGCAGCTAGGTTGAGAAGCAGTGCTGCTAGCAACACACCGTCTAACAGGTAGATCCCCAGGCCTGCCTCATCCCCTGCCACATCGACCATCTGGGCTGTCTCTTATACACATCTAGATGTGTATAAGAGACAGGCCTCATCCCCTGCCACATCGACCATCTGGGTGAGGAGTCAGACTGAGTTTTTTTTTTTTTTTTTTTTTTTTTTGCACCACCGGTGGACCCCCGGTCGAACCGCTGCTCTTAGGTAGGTGCTGGCCCCCACTTCCGCCTATGCATCACGTGACCCCCCCCCCGACTTTAGTATGACTAGGTCCGGTCGGAGTTCTGGGGGTACGGCCGCTGAGGGCGATGTTCTACTCCCCACCACCCGTGCTGAGCGAGAATGGATCCGGTACCAAAGTACAGAGACATACAACTGCAGCTACCCCGCCGCCTCGGTCTGCTGCCGACGTTGTGGCTTAAAGCTTGATCTGTCCCGCACCGCCAGCCCGCCTGGTAAGTTGTCTCACCCCTCTTCCCCTTGCATCGACTCTTCCTTCCTTAGTGTGTGAATGCACCTAACTTGACACTTCCTCCAGATACACGCCCACAAAAGGACAAACTATGTAGGACGGCACCCAATTATAAGGTACGTACCCTTACCTCCTACCTGTCCCCTCTCTTCTCATCACTCTCCCTCTCACCTCACTTGCTGCACCATCTCGCTGCACCATCTTCCTCTTGACCGGCCGCTGTTCTCAATCTCCCCCTTCAAGGCCCCATTTCATCATGTCTCTCTCCAATGAGCCTGGCCTGGTTTCCCGGCAGGTTCATACAGTTCTCGTAGTAGCTACAGGGGTATAAACGACGACCGACCTGCGTATGCAACCTGCCGCGAGGGGACAGCCATCCTGGCCAAGGCACACGCCCTCTTTGTAGAGAGTGAGGGTGATCGCGCACAGCTACGGTCCCGCCCTCCTAGCCACCTAGTATGCCAAAAAATAAATAAATAAATAAATAAATAAATAAATAAAAAAGAGAAAGAATCTCTCGTCGGAATGTGACCAGGTTCAGCCCCCCGCGCGGTATTTAACCCTTATACCGACCAGGTGACTTATTAAAATGGACTTCTAACGCGACCAACCGACTCGCCATGCAAAAGAACCCCAGTTTAGAGTCATAGTTCGCTCAAAATGGCCAAGAAACGCCCGAGATAATCAAAACTGCACTTCCTCCATTACTACACCCGCCATAGCTCCGCGCCCTGTATTCGTCATAACTCCCGTTCTGCTCCTCCTCCTCCCATTCTGGCTTCGTCTTCGGATTCGCCCGGGGCAAAAACCCCGGGATTGGCTCCTACCTCTCTCGATTCCGCCACGGATCGAGAGAGTTATGCTCTCCTTCCCTCGTCTGACTTAGCACCCCGCCATCTCCAAACTCTTCCCTCTTCTGCGCCTGCACCTGGCCTAAATCCCGTCCGGGTTCGCCCCCTTCCCGTTGGCCTATGCCAGCCTTTCCTCAGCCATCAGCGCTGCCTTCCTCTCTCGTTGTGCTGCTTTCTTCTACGCTCCTTCTCTTCTCCTCTAGTCCTTCCTCTCCCCTTTCTGGCGCAGGCACCTGCCTTAGCCCAGCTACGGCGGAGCTCCCCCTCTCAACGTCGTACCACCCCGTCGTCTACCACCTGCTGCCCTCGCAGCGCAGTGCCCTATGCTTGGCTCGGCCGAGAACACGGGCCGCAGCGGCAACTTACCGTACGCCATAACAGCAGCAGATCTCGGGCTACTCCCGACTTTATACCTGTCTCCTTTGCGCAGGGCCACGCTAATCTGCTCTGTATCATCCCAATTTTAACGGATGTCCCGAGGGACCGTGCCTTGGGCAGAGACCCAGGTGCCTCGGATCCGCTGCCTTGGGGCAGCCTTACTGCCGGACTCTGAGACAGCTCTGCCTTTCAATGGTTTAGTGGTGTCTCCACTGAACCAGGCTGCTTGGGCACACCGTCGGTCCCGGTACCGGTATCGGGCCTTGTCAAAAAGAAATTTTATAAAACTAGAAAAAACATTGTTTTAGGAAAGAAAAAAATATTTTTTTTTAGGAAAAGAAAAAAAAAACACGGGTGGGGGGAAAGGACCAATGGCACTTGGTCTTTTCTCGCGGGCCCGTGGTTGGAACTCCCCCTCAGTAAAAACCAAGGGGGATAGTCCCACGGGACCCTCAACCCCTTGGTTCGCTCCTGCATCGCTCTGCTGCTTTGCTTTGGCCTCAATCCCGGGATCCACCTGGTGGTAGTTTGATGACATAACCTATAGGGCTAAGCCCCAGCCTGGAGGCAGCAGGCGCAGCCCTCCATATGAATGGCATGGCCAGCCAGCCCAGGCCAGCAAACGGTACCTCAGGCCGCTTTTCCCACGTATGGCCTGCGTCCTCGGTCCCCTAAGGCTGCACTTGGCAATCCTGAAGGCATAGCTCCGCCGGCTCACCACTTGCGCCGGCTCAACTATGGCAGGGCGGCGTATCGGGCTCCTCACGGCCTGCTGCGATGCCTTTCTACCACCTCTCCGCCGAAAAACCCCGCTCATGGCGTTGCTTAGTGCCGCCCTCGCTTAGCATCCGCGGCGACTTTTGCTATCGTTGACGCAGGCATCCCAGTGCCCACGTAACTCTACGTGGTGCGGCCTTGATATGTCGGCCCCCCGCAAGTCAAACTACATTCTTTTCTGGTCACAGTCCTCCCCGGTCAACGCGACGCCGCTCGTAACTTCGCCCGTACGTGCGAGGCTGCGGCCGCCTCGGAACCTCTACACTTGTTCTACCGGCGTCGCATGGCCTTCCTCGACCCAGGCTCGGTCAGGTTAGCGCGTGCCCACAAAGTGCACGCCTACACACTCTCTAATCAATACAGATGGGACGCGCCCTCAGATATCGTCAGGCGTGCTCTTCCTGTGAGCTGCAAAACGTGCCCAAATACCCTTGTAAGGGTATTCGGGCCGACAACGTGTTAGACGGAGATGGCATTAAGCCTGAGGACAGTAAGATAGTGGCGATTAGAGACTGGCCGACACCCCGCACGTTGACTGAGTTGCGGTCGTTCCTAGGACTAGCTAACTATTACAGGAAATTCGTGACAAACTTCTCGACTATTGTCGCTCCCCTTCGCAGGTTGTTCAAGAAAGAGGCAATCTGGCAATGGGATGAAGACTGTACGTCTGCGCTAAAGAAGTTAAAGCGCGCATTAATAAAGTACCCTGTCCTCAAAGTACCAGATTCGTCTTTGCCATTTGTCGTCACCACGGACGCGAGTCGTTATGGGATAGGCGCCGTGTTACAGCAGGACGAAGGCAATGGCTACAGACCCGTAGAGTTCATGTCCGCGAGGATGCCCTCAGAGAAGGTCGCTACCTCAACGTATGAGAGGGAACTCTACGCTCTCACGCAGGCCTTAGAGCACTGGAAGCATTACCAGCTTGGGAGGCACTTCAAGGTGTATTCAGACCATGAGACTCTTAGATGGCTGAAGACACAAGATGACACCTAAGTTGACTAGGTGGGCCGTTGAGATAGATCAATATGACTTTGAGCTCAAGCCTGTTAAAGGCAAATATAATGTAGTTGCGGATGATATGAGTAGGAGATCAGACTACTTTGGAGCTATAGTTCACTATCTGGAGATAGGGAGTGACCTGCAGGAGAAAGTTAGACAAGCGTACGCGCAGGACCCTATCTATAGCTATCTCCTCAAGAGAGTCAAGGAGGCCCCAGAGACCGAACCAGATTACCGCACTACAGAGGGGTTGCTATTGAGAAGACTAATGTAGCAGACCGTYTGTGCGTTCCCAACAGTGAAGAGATCCGTAGTTTGATCTTAGGGGAATGTCATGATACAGAGGGACATTTTGGTTGGCAAAAGACTCTAGCCAATCTAATGCACGCATATACATGGCCGGGAATGAAGAACGACTGCATAGAGTATGTCCGCAGTTGCAAAGTCTGTCAGAGAAACAAGACTACTACGCGTGCTCCTCTAGGTCTTCTCAGACCCTTGCCTATTCCTGATCAGCCAAGAGATTTAGTGTCCATCGACTTCATGGACGCCGACATCAAGAGTAGGCACGGCAAGAGCCAAGTCATGGTTATAGTCGATAGATTTAGCAAAAATGCTGTTTTTGTTCCTTTGCCTATAAAGGCCCGTACAGAGTTAGTAATTCATAAGTTTTTTGACTTTTGGGTAGTGAGCATGGAGTCCCGTTGTCTATAGTTAGCGATAGAGATAGTCGCTTCACTAGCCAGAACTGGCAGGAACTGATGAAAGTCTATGGGTCCAAGTTGCCGATGTCGTCTGGCCGCCATCGAAAGACTAACGGTCAGACTGAGCAGATGAACAATATCCTGCAGCAAGTTCTGCGCATGTACATTAGACCAGATCAAGTCAACTGGGACGAGATGTTGCCCAAGGGAGCCAGTGCGTACAATAACAGCGTGCACTTGTCCACCTGGAGATAGGGAGTGACCTGCAGGAGAAAGTTAGACAGGCGTACGCGCAGGACCCTATCTATAGCTATCTCCTCAAGAGAGTCAAGGAGGCCCCAGAGACCGAACCAGATTACCGCACTACAGAGGGGTTGTTATTAAGAAGACTAATGTAGCAGACCGTCTATGCGTTCTCAACGGTGAAGAGATCCGAAGTTTGATCTTAGGGGAATGTCATGATACAGAGAGACATTTTGGTTGGCAAAAGACTCTAGCCAATCTAATACTCGCATATACATGGCCGGGAATAAAGAACGACTGCATAGAGTATATCCGCAGTTGCAAAGTCTGTCAGAGAAACAAGACTACTACGCGTGCTCCTCTAGGTCTTCTCWGACCCTTGCCTATTCCTGATCAGCCAGGAGATTTAGTGTCCATCGACTTCATGGACGCCGACATC